CTTTGATATTACACATATAGATACTACATGTAGACCTTTCTCAGATTTGTTCATTTCGTGATGATATCTTCAATTCTCTAATTTTGGTGAATATTTTGGTCATTTTTGATAGAAAGTGATATTTTCGACTTCTTGTTAAAAACTGTAAGTCTGATTGCTTTGATACTATACATATTGTTCATTTTCTAATGATGTCTTCAGTTCTTTAATTGAAATGTGCATTGCTTAACAGCGGAGCTATCTCAGCCGATAGGCTGCTTGTTTTATGGTTGTATTGACAAGGCTAACTTTTCTTATTGTCTATGCACAGAATTAAAACTATCTTAAAAAACCTGGAAGCCCGGCTTCCTGTACTCTCTGATGCTGAGCAGAATATGAAAAAAGAATTATCAACAATGGAAGGGAAACTGAAACATCACAAAAATGTGTTACAACAGGTGAGATATTCAGCACAATCAATTTGCCATTAAACTGCATTTTCACCCTACCTACCCGTAGTATTTTTTGCGTTTTTGCCATAATGGGTTATATTAGAATTACTGTAAAGGGGTTAATTATTCACCGGGTTTTAATTTTGCTTATTTCGCTGACTGGAAAATGCACTAAATTAAAACTCAGTCAATATGTAAAATGTAGCATAGAACACATTATCTAAATGATAAAACCATGAATTTAAAACCCACTGATTATGCCTTAAATGGTAAACCAGCGAAATTTAAACCCAGCGAAAATTAGTCATTTTACAGTATTATGTTTTCATGATTTAATGGAAATTGGAAGATTTTTCAAACACATTAAAACCTTTATATGTGAATGCTTTTTCATGTGCACTGAAACAACATCTCTTTCCCACTACTATTTGTCTCCTCTTTAAAACCTTTATATGTGAATGCTTTTTCATGTGCACTGAAACAACATCTCTTTCCCACTACTATTTGTCTCCTCTTTAAAACCTTTATATGTGAATGCTTTTTCATGTGCACTGAAACAACATCTCTTTCCCACTACTATTTGTCTCCTCTTTAAAACCTTTATATGTGAATGCTTTTTCATGTGCACTGAAACAACATCTCTTTCCCACTACTATTTGTCTCCTCTTTTGAAAGCAAATTATGTCCAGGACAACAGTAATTATATGATTCATTGCATCAACTTTGTATCACACTGCTAGAGAGTGCTGTCTAACCTTATCCATTTCAGGTGAAAACCAAAGAAGAGTACCAAAGTCGACAAATATCTCGTATGGAAAAGAAAAGCAGTAATCGTGGTATGAGCCAATCACACACCAAGCACTTGCATGCCGTTCTTAAAGAAGAGTAAGTCTCAAATTACAACTATAGATCACTATAAAGTTGTCATCACTAGAAATGTTTCAAGTATCTCTTAAAGTGTAGTGGTTGGCACCTGAGCATGCTGGGAAATGGGATCTAAGCGACAATAAAAGCACCTACTAAAAATGTAAAGGCTCATGAGTAAACAATTGTTTATAAACAATGACATGATATTGTCGTCTGTCACATGCGCAGGTGATGACTAACCCACTTTAAATTAGGCATCTCAAAAAAGTTAAAAACATATCGTAGACAATGGATCGGAAGGTACAATGCTCATTATTTGATGATAGCCAATAACCTATCCCACCTGTTAATAAATGGTTTATCCCAAGTCACATGACTCTGTTACTGCACACTCTTGATTGATAAATATAGCAATTCTCAATAATTGATAATTCCATAATTGATCACATTCTTGAAATTATTCCACTGACCTACTTATTGAATGGTTTTTTTTTTATTTTTCTTTCCAGAGGCGATAAAATCAGTAGTCTTGTAAAACAAGTGCACAGTCTGAAATCCCTTGCAGGAGAATAGATTCTATGAACACAATTTTTTTCTTTCCGTTTTATAAGCTGTATCAATTCATTCATTTATCCATCTAACTTTATCAACTGACTGGGTATTGCAGTGTCTATGGTTCAAGGAATTTATTTCACAAAATATTCAATTTGTAGAAGTTTGATATGATTTATTTCCATTATTTGAAAAAGATATTTTTCTATGTGTATTAAATATTATATATACAACTAAACATAATAATTTGCGTGTTCCATATTTATTGTACAGTGACAAACAATACTACAAAGTTGTATTATCAGATGTATTTTTGTTTTGTGACACTTAGTGATTTAGTTTTCAGCATTGAAAACCCGTTTTTTGGTACCCATGCTTTTAAGCTACCAAATCCCAGTATATATCTGTGGAAACAAAATATTGGCGAAAATGTTACACAAATTAGTCTACATCTTTCAGTTCATAAGCTGCTTCTGTGTACGGGTTGTACTGATGCATACACTGTTTGAT